CAGCGAGATCGTGATAAAGTATTCAAGAATGAGAACAGCCGAGTAATCGCGTATTCATTTCACACCGTTCGATCGAACGTACCGCTAGCAAGAAAACAGCGAATCAGATCGATTCGACGTCAGGGATTTGTTCGTGGATCAGATCGTGGTATCGAGTGGGCGTATCGTTTGAGGGTCAGCCAGTCGAGATCATCGTTTTGCCGTTTAACGAGCAACGTCCCTTCTGTAAATGAGACTCGATGACCTGGCGGAAATCGTGAACGAGCCAGATCCTTGGTCCTGGTTCTTCACTGAAGCAATAGATATCGTCGAGGGGGAAAAAAGGATACATGGCGACGCGTACGACAGTCTAGTCAAGGCCACCTGGTCGAGTTCCTGCGATTTCTTCAGAAATTAACTGCTCCTGCGTGCGTTTCAGGTTTAATGAAAATTCCGTTGAACAAGGAGAAAAGTTTTGCTGCTGAAAGTTAGTTTCCAGAAATTAATAGAAAGGTTATTTTTTGAAAGTATTTCTTAGAGGATGTAAGAGATATCTTTATACGTAACAGTGTATTGAAAGCAATTCGAGTTGAGTTCAATATTTGTAGAAATTTAACAGTCAAGATATAATTAGCTGTAGGAAATTCCAATAACTTTATGCCAATTGCAAAATTTATTGCACTCACACGTGCATTTACGAATTCATATCTGCCAATTATTGGTAGATCATATCAGCTATTAATTCTTAAGTACGTAATTCCTCCTCAATTACACTCCAGCCACGAAATCACATCTGTCAAAGTCGTGTGCACTTTGCATCACTTTTCTCGCGATTTTTCACATAATTAATCAATGAATCGGTTTATTCATCATATTAATCATTAACGACAAACTGAATGTTGTAGAGAAAGATTAATTCGTAAGATTATAAAAGGCTAGCTTGCAAGTGTTGCACAATGTTTTCACGAATCTCTCGATCTCCATCTCGATCGTCAAGTACATTCTCGATCAGAGAGTAATAATCGTTAAAAACAAGCTTGGATTGGGGCATTCGTATTCTCGATGGAGGCAAGTCAAAGGGCACCGCTTCCTTCCCACCGATCTATCACCTTGCCAGTTGAAAATTTATCGACAGCCAGGCTCGAGGAGAGCTGGCTACTGGTATTCCGCTATCCGATCCCGTATTTCGAGAATCGTTTCGTAACCGAGGCCCGATGCTCTTTGCTCGGCAATGCCGCCGCGACGCACGCCGTCTGCATATCAAGACGCCCCCGTAAGCGCCGTGCCTTCTCTCCGTCTCGCGGGCACGTACGTCGCTCATTGTCAGTCTGTTACCTTTTTGTACTTATTTAATACCGTCCTCTGGCATTTTCCACGTAGCGTGAATGCGTAAAACGTGGCACAGCCGTGGAGAATCGAAGACCTGAAGGGGGTGGTGGCGAAGGGGGAACGAAGGCGACGATGGATCGCGCGAAATTTCTACGGAGAACTTGCCTGTGACGCGTCGCTTTTAATTGCGTTTGGCGTTCGAACCCGGCTGCTTCCAGGAAAATCGTCTAATCTGTGTCTTCGTGCGACAATGATCGACGGTGAATCGCCAGCGAGGCTCGTGAAGCACGTTGCACGAAGAACCTGGCGTTCCTTTCACGATACGTATTTCTTGGACACGATCGCGTTTATTCTTTAGTCGTTGGCATCATTTTGATAAACGTGGGAGGGGGAGGGGGAGAAGGTTTATCGGTGACAATTTTATGCCATTTTTTTTTCTTTTTTTTTACTAGTGTTGACACAAGTGAAATTGGGACGAAAAAACTCCCAACTCGATCAACCTTCGTTCGATCCTTTGAATTTATTTTCATTTCTCTTTGTCAACGCTTGCCATGCTTGTTTTTTTTTTTTTTTTTT